ATGGCGCACTCGCTGCGCAGCTGGGAGCTCCTGCATGTGCTTGTAGACGCTGTCCCACGCCTGTCGTACACCTGCCCGCAAGTCGGGCTGCTCCCTCCAGGTCCGCAGCCACAAATCCAACGTCTCGACTGGCATCTTGATCGCTGGGTCAAGATCCCCAGCGCGCAGAGCCAGCCATGTGGTCAGGCAGCGGCCGCGCGTGGGCGCCGCCAGCGCCTGACCCAGGCGCCGTCGAGCCAGCGTCATCCTGGCGCCGAAGGTGCCATAGGCTTGGTGCCCGTGCACCCCTGCCGCCTGCGCCCCCTGCTTTTCGAGCCTCCCCGTGACCCGATACTTCTTCGACACGAACGCATGCCGACGCTCCTTGCCACTCATGGCCTTGTGTTTGGCGTCGCTCTTGACCCTCGTCTCGCGAGCCATCCGTTTGCCCCCGCCCAAGTCGACCCCCAAGTAGGTGGCCTGCTTGACGGGCTGCACAGAGTAGCCTGCACGGGCCACTCGTCTGGCCACCCACTGGGCGTCCTGGAACGACGCGCAGATGATGACTGATTTGGACGCGACCTTCAGCTGCTTGGCTCTCAGCTCCTCGCACGTGTTGATGACACATGCCGCCAATTCTCTTCGCACAGCTGCGCGCGAGCCTCGAGCAGACTGCGACAGGTCGTCGATCCAGATGCGATGACCCATTCTCGGGTGGGCGACTGTGATGACCTCCAGCACGTAGTGGGTCATGGCCTCGGCGAAGCGTGTTCCAGCCCTGAGGCCCTGGACCACGCTCCGCGATGGCTGGAAGGCCCGTGTCGCTGCGCCAAGCTGGCTCAGCGTGCGAGCTGCGACGCACTGCAGCAGCTCCAGGTACAGCACCTGCGGCGGGAACTCGAGTGCCAGCGCACAGGAGGCCAGCGGTGCCCACTCGATGGAGTCGTAGAACGACTGGATGTCCACGAGGGCCTCGCCCGTGGCAGCTCCGAGGTGATGAGACACCTCCTGTTGCAGCACCCGCACGAAAGCCTCGCGGAGGCTCGAATTCCCCCTGGCAGCTGCGTCCCAGTGGGCTTCTGCCGAGGCTGACCAGCTGCGAACATATGGCTCCCGAATAAGGCTCCACAGCCTGCCCACCATCGACACCAAACCTATGATGCGGTCTCCATTTGATTTCTTAGGCAGTAGACGCCCGAGAATCAAGAGGATCTGACCTGGCCATACAAGATGGCACTCGCAAGCTTGATACAACAACACCAGCTCGGCGAGCGCCTCGTCAGGGAGGCGCTTGAAGTCGAGCGGACTAAGCATGTCCACCCCCATGCCAGCTCGTCCCTTCATCTTGCGAAGAGCACCTCTCGCTTCCGAAATTGAAATATCTGGCAAGGACTCCGTGGCTGCAGCAGCTTGAATCTTGGCGAAGGTCCGAGAGATTTCGTCTTCATCCAAGACAGCAGGTGCCCACAAGTCGTGCCATAGCTTAGCTTTGTGATTAATCTTATCGCGAGGGTGAAAAAGGACTCTATCTTCCTGAGCCATGTCCAGGCTTGGCAGAGCCTGAGGATTGAGGGCCTTGTGTAAAGTTCCAACGGCACCGTCCTCACCCATGAAATCTTTGAACTCATTGACACTATCCTGAACTGCTAAGCTCGCGAGCACCGGTGTGACCACCTCGCCCGCGCTGCTCAGAACCCTCTCCCACTCCGACCAAGGGGGATCACGTCCATCAAGTAGCACACGCTGCACATGCTCAGGCCGATCAGCCAGATGACGTACACAGCCTTGCACGTAGCGTTCGGCTTGTAGAGCACCGTTGTCCTTCGTCTTGTGCAACACGAGACCTGCGAGCAGCGCGTTGACCTGCGCCCACCAGCCGTTGATCTGGTCTCGCAGAGGTGTCGCACGCACCTTCTGTGGGAGCTTCACTGTGGTCACTGTGAACCTGGGCCCCGTAGCCCTCGATGGGCCTCGCGGCAGGTCCACTCCATGATGAGAAGTGATTGTGGGTTCGACAGCTGACACCCAGGAAGCGTAGAGGCCTGAAATAGTCTCAAGCTCAGCGGGCTTGAGCCGAACGGCTACGGATTGACGCAGAGCAGGGGCAAGGGACTGAAGAGTGGCTGCCCCAGAAATGAACCCTACGTCACGCCTGCATCTAGTCCACAAATCGGTCGGGATAGCGAATGACGGGGCCCCTCCAGAGCTGCCCCCTTCCAGCCCAGGACCCTGGGGGCCTCCAGCCCCAGAAGAATCCAGGGTCTGCGACTGAGGATGGCCAAGAGCAGGAGCCGCAGCGCTCAAAGGCTCCACCCCAGACTGCTCGGCCACTTCAGGCACGTCCCTGGAGACCTCGCGAGACCTGTTAGAGGGCCCAGGCTGGGGATCACTTAGCATATTAGCTTGCGCACTATCTACTACAGACGCTACAGTGAGAGCGGGGAGGAGGGAGGAGTCGGGACAGAAAGACAATTCCTCGGCCCACGGATCTTCCTCCTCAGGCCACTCATCAAAATTGAAGGGATCAGTATGCTGCTCCCCTTTCCCCGAGGCCGACAGGTCATTTTCCCCAGCGCCGCCAGCCTCTGGGATCGCAGTGGATTGCTCGTTCTGACAGCAATCCTCAAACAAGGGAGAAAATTTAGCCGCTCGCTTCTCGACAGCGAGCTGATGCTGTACCCTACGCGTAGCTTTCGCCACGCAAGACTTAGACCCAGCGGTGGCTTCTTTACACGGTCGAGGGACCTGCGGGAGGCGCCCTGGAGTCTCTAGAATCCTTGTCAGGAACTGGTCCCCTGACCTACGCATGACAATCTCGAGCCCAATGCGTGGCTTTCAGGGTACCGATATGACAGGCCTAATTCCGGCAACGAATGGCACCGCTGACTGACTGCATAACAGATAATCTATAACCGTGCCCGAGCCTAGATTACATGTAGCAACCCCTTTTGCCTGCAACACCACTGCGTGCAACCGACTGACAATGCCTGACCGCTCAAGCTGTTGTGGGGACATATTGAAGTCGCCTGCAACTATCCAAGGGAGCTGGAGAGACCACCGGAGCCCCGCCAATCTCTGAAAGCTGCCGAGGTTGGCTCCACGGAGCCCAATACAACTATGTGCATAAAAGTTGATCATAACCATACTGAAGCCTGAAAAATGAACAACTGTGGCGATGAAGCCATCGAAGCAAGACGGATGGAGCGGCGCAGACAATCTATTCACAGCAAGCCAGGCGGCTGGAAGTCGATGCGTCTGCAGGTGCCCCTTCGACATGCACCACTCGCCGCCCTCATTGGAATGCTCCATCAGCGCCTCCCTCTTGGAGCCGATAGCAGCCTTCGCCTTCGACGATGGTCTCGCAGGATTGGTGAACAACCTCAGGCCCTTCCCCCGAGCCTTGGCATCATATTGACGTAGAGTCTTCGCATCGTGGACGTGGGACTCTACGACACTGACGAAGTCGAACGACTTGGTCACAAGCCAGTTCCAACACTTCTCCCCCATGCATGTGACGTTAGCATAGAACCAGCGACTATGCTCCCCCGCCGCCCCTTCGAGCGGCTCTGGCGCCCTCGGCGCTTCTCCAGCTAGTCACGAGCTGGCGCCGCTCGGGGGAGCGGCGAAGCCCTTGCCGTTGCTCTTGCCATTCAGCTTCTGCGCCTCCGCCAGGAACTTGGCTTCGGACAGCCGCTTGGCCTCGTCGGTGATCTGTTTCTCCTTCAAGGCTTGGGCCTCCTTGGCCTTGGCCTCGGCTGCGGCGGCATCGGCGCCTGCAGCGGCAGCGCCGCCAGGCGAGACCCCTCCTGAGGTCCCCGATGCCGCCGTCCTGGGCTGCTGAGCACTGTCGCCGCCCTCGCCGCCCGCCATGGCCTGGCCGTCGGCCCCGCGCCTCTTCTTGAGGAGGCGCTGCTCGATGTCCTTCTTCACGGACTCCATCTGCTCCAGCCACGCCTTGACCTCGGCCTCCTTGGAGGCCATGGCGCCCTGCGTGACCTCCAGGTTCTGCTTGAGACCGCGAAGGGCCTCGCGCTCGTGCTCCTCGCACTCCATGTTCTCGATCTGGTCGAAGAACTTGCTATCCCAGCTGATGTGGAAGATGGGCTTGTCGGCGGCAGGCTCCTGGGCCCCAGGCGCCACAGGCTTGGCCTCGACGCCCTCGGCGTGTGCCACTGCCTGCGCTGCTGCCTTGCGGGCCATCGTGGCCTCCGCCGCAGCCCGAGCCGCCGCCGTCTCCTTCTCCTCAGCCACAGAGAGCTGCTTCCGAAGCCGCAGCACATGTGAAACTTGTTGCGAATGACGATGCTCTGCATCCTTACGTGCCCCTTCAGCTCGACGAAGTGCCTCCACGAGGGACGGCTCGTTCTTGGGCTTCGTCGCCTCTGCCATGAGCCTGTCCACCTGCTTGCGCAAGCAGCCGATGAGCTCCTGGTCCTCTGTCGCCTTCAGCGCCTGGTCCAGGATGGCCGTCACGTCCTTGCCTGCTCCGCCCTGGCCGCCCTTGGCGCCGCCGCGGCCCTTGCCGCTGCCCCACTTGGTCCCTCGCGGGACCACCCGCTCGTCCTCGCTGTCCGACAAATCGAAGGTGACTCGGCTCCGTCCTGCCGATGTCGCCCGAGCCTTGTACAAAGGTACTCGAGAACCGCAGCCACGGCAGGTGCAGCCTGCCTTGGCCAGCTCGGCGTTGTACTCACATACTCCGCAGTCTGGGCACCTGCTCCATGGGCCCCGACTCCTTGGGACAGACGAGCCCCGTGCCATTGTTTTTTCCCCTGCTTTGGTCGAGATCTGGCGCAATTGTTCGGAAGGTGGCACCCAAATCTAGTCACTCAAGTGCCTCGGTGCGGCACAGGGGAAGGAGGCCAAAACAAAATGACTTGACCCCCAATACTTGAGGGGGGAGGAGGAGGAGGAGGAGGAGGAGGAGGAGGAGGAGGAGGAGGAGGAGGACCAGGGAGGAGGAGGAGGAGGAGGACCGAGGAGGAGGTGGATCGAGGAGGGGGGCGGCCGGCCCGCTGGAGGCCGCGGTGGCGAGCTGGCCTGGGCTGCTGGCGCTGGACCCAGAGGCCGTGCAGCGCAGCCTGCACGCGCTGCAGGTGGTGATGGACACGGCGACGGCACAGCGGGCGCCACCCGCCCGCCCGCGCTAGCTCCTCGGGCGCATGCGTCGGCACCGGCTGCCCAGGCTTCGCAGAGGGGGGATGGGGAGACAGGGGGAGGGGGGAGGTTGATGCAACGCAGGCATGGGCGGCGGGCCGGGCTCTTTGTTCGCGTGTGGTGGCACGGCGGGGTGGCGCATGACAAACAAACTCGCCACCCGCCGTGCCTCTGGAGACCCTCTCAGGAGAGAGAGAGAGAGAGAGAGAGAGCGTGGCAGGAGAGAAGCGGACGGCCTGCTGGAACAGCAAGTCCGTCCAGGCCTCCTTCGCACGCTTCTATTAGAGCGCCGCCCTAACCCCTGGGGCAGGCTTTGGAAAGAGAGAGATCGGCGGCGGTGCTGCCTGTCCCCACGGAGCGATCCTCTCCCTGCGACGGCGCTGCGCTTCGGCGCGGTTCTCGGCGATCCTGGCTTTCTGGGCATGCCGCTTGCTCCTATGGGAAGCCCCGAAGCAGGTCAGCAAACTCTTTCTCAGCCTCCGCTTCCGAAGAAGACTAGGAAGCCTCCTCTGCACTGGTGGAACCCTTCGGCCCGAGTTCTAGGGCTGGCTGTGCATCACCAGCACCGTCAGGCAAAGCGGCGGCCTCGTCAACGCTGGAGTCGGTGTCGAGAAAACGGTGGCGTTCGGAATCGAATTTGATCCTGGCGCTCCCCTTCTTCTGGCGTCGGCCCTCAAAACCTTCAAGTTTAGGAGCGTACGGAAGGGCCTGGCTGTTACTGTGTGGTTCGTTTCGCGCTCACGAGACATACAACTCCATCAGACCCTCATGGATTTCGTTGCTATCCTCGAGGGGAACGCACGTGCGAGAAACCTGGTTCTGCTAATCTACAGAGAGAGAGAGAGAGAGAGAGAAAGAGAGAGAGAGAGGGAGAGACGCGGGACCCTGCAACAACTCATGTGTATAGTCTACTATGTCTGAGGCGATGGCCTTCTCCGAGGTCGTCTTGAATGCACCCGAGGCAAACGTTCCGAGCCATATGCGACCTTTTCTCGTGGGAGCAAGCCGTCCTAGGACTGGCCTTCAAGAAACCTGCCAAGCTGGGCATTCGAATCGCAACTATGGTGGTCAGGGCCCTACCTGCACCAGCGGGGTCAGTACCTGGAGCCAGGTGTTCACACTGATCGAAAGTCGTGCTTGTTGCGCAGGGAGATAGCCAGATTGCTTGCGCAGACTTCCGCTCGAACCATTATTGCGCACCTCTGGCCCGTGTTGGGCATACAGGATGTTCAAGCCAGCCGGATGTGCCGGCACGGAGCCTAGTCGTTTAAAATCTTGGCATCATTGCGATACGATCCGAACCTGCTCCGACTGGCGCCTCGTGGCCCATGTGACCCCCCATACATGTTGGATCGTTCTGAGCGGAGGGGGGGCGCCTTCCTGCTGTCTCGACGCCGGGTACGTTTCGCACGGCGCCCCCCCTCCAGTGTTGATAGCACGATGGCATTGGATATGCTCGATCCATTCGAGAATCGTCGCTTCTCGGGTAAGATCGCCACTCACATCATTGACCGCGCTGTCGACACTAAGCAAGACTAGTTCGACCGAGGGAGCTGCGATCGAATATTCACTATGCCACTGCGCATTTCTCTACCGGCGACGCCCACGGCATAGGTTGATAACGAAAAATGTGCTGCGCCTCATTCGCAGCGGTACGCTCTAAGCAGCAAAGCCTCCGTAGTCCGCTGGATTGCACATGCAAAAGTAGATCGCGAGCTGGGGCTGGAATGGCGGGGGTCTCGCTGAACCTCCTCCGATACTCTTTCCAATTCTGGGGCGGGGGAGGGTGGCGCAATCGACCTCCATGTGGACCTGAGCCTGCTCGGGACTGAGAGCCCATGCCAGATCCTGCACCTCTTGCGATCGTACCCCAGGACCTCTGAAAGCAGGACACTTAGTGCGCCATCCCCCTGCCCCGCCTCCCTCTGAGCCTTAAGCCTCCCGTCCTCCTAAGCGCCTCGTCTCGTCGTACGTGCAGTGCTTGTCACCAAGATGTTGCGTGACTGTTTGAACACACAATTGTTGCCCTGACGGCTTGGTTTAACCATGTTGTAGCCGGGCTCTGTTTCATCTTTGGGCTGGGATCAAGTCATTATCCCTTGCTTCATCAGCTTCCAAGTGAACACTGGCAACAGTCGTCGGATGAGGACTCACGGTATTCGGAAAAATAGTGCACCCCAGTTCCCGTATTCGTCAGGGCTGTGCAGGCTCATTCAGCGGCCGTTGCCAACATCGAGCGGATGTATGCCTTGTTGTATGAGTTCAATCGTATATCCGACACTCACGGACCGCTGTTGCACGTCACGTCGATGAGGGCCATTCGTGAGTCTACGAGGGGGGTGATCCACAACCCATATGCACAATCGGGCTTGTTCAATGCGCCAACTTAGTCGGTCATGCGATTTCCTCCCCATGGCCAGGGAAATTCCCATGGATACCTTGGCCGCCGACGCGATTCCGCACTGGATTAGCTTGCGCGGGCTCTTGCCTCTGGACGGCGCTCCTCCGAACAGGTTCATCAGGATCCCCAGATCCGTTCAACCGGCCTGGGCGATTCCGATGTTCCCGTCAGAGGAGAAATTGATTCCGCTGTGCTCGAGCATGTTCTACATGTCCATGATAAGCATCGTACGTATTGGGACCACATCATCATATTCAACACCAAGGTATCCTTAAGGCACCGATTTCGCGGCCCCCGACGGGACGCTGGTTTCAAACCAGCGCCCCCGATGGGTGGACATTGCACAGGTCGTTGCCCTTTTATCGCATGAAGTCGGCGGACAGCACCACTCCTGAGGTCGTCTGGAGAAGTTTGTTCGACCAGAGATGGGCCGAGGCACATCTGGAGATATTTGCAGTCGGATGAAACCGCTATTCCAAAGGAGGACGCTGATGTTTTAACCGACGGTGGCCCTCCTGCCAGCGCAGCTGAGGAGGGGGCTCAAGACGTTCAGCGCTTTGAGGTTTCCGCCGCAGATGCGCAGACTCGGTCCCTCCAGGTAAGTATGACGATCGCTTCCTGTGCCACCAGCTCCACGAGTTCCGCTCGGGATTCGGGGCCTGTCCAGCGTGCTATACCACAGTCGCGCGACTTGCCGCCTTTCAAGATGTATTCATGGCGGCGCATGTGAAATTCTTCACGCTTCACGGTCGTATCTTGCGACCAACCGCCAACAGGCGCATGATAACGGTTTGGACTGTACATGGCTTTGCGCTTCTTGCTGGACAGATGCGGCTGAGAAGGACGGCCACCTGGTATCAGCGGACTGCACATTCAGCGACAACGTCCAGACGGTTGCACTGGCCAGGAATCCTTCCCGGCCCCCGCCCGTGCACACACTCTTCCCCAACGCCTCCCTGCTCGCGCTCTCGGCACTTCCCACCGCAACGACTGCAGACAGCCTGAGCGATTTCCTGTTGGCCCTGGTCAGCCTCCACGTCCCCAAGAACGCCAACACTACCATTCCGCCCACTCGGATCGACGACGACAGGTTTGGGTACACGGCAATCGATACCAAGCGCTACACGGCTACGCGCGACGGGTGCCCCCCCAGCGCCCCCGCCTTTGTCCTGGGAAGCAGGCGCGCCTGCGCTCGGCTGTTTCGTATGGAAGGCTGACGCAGAGTTTGGGTCAGCAGAGGCGGGTGGCCTCCCTGCGTGGGCGGATCGATCCGTTGCCTGGACAAGCCGCAGTTGGAACGCCACCTGGTTGTGCCGCCCATGCCTGGTACGCGCGCGGGACGCCAAGCCCAGTGCAGTCAACAAACTGCTCGACCTTTACCTGCACCTAATCTACCCCCCCGCCCCCACCATCGAGTCACGGGCCGCCCCGCCCGTCCCCGGCGAGTACGCCGTAACTGGCGAGCTCGCACCCAACCGGGCTTACGCCACCAAGTCCGCCCCGCACAGCGAGTGCGAAGGCGCTCTGGGCTTGTCTGCCCTCGAACCAGACGACCGCCCTCTCTAGACGAGTGGAGCCGACGAGGTGCTCCGTCTCCTACATGAGGCGAGCCTCCGCCAAGGGCCTGCATTGAAGAACATCGATTTCAACTTCCTGGAAGCCGCTGAGGAGGAGGGGGGTGACGACCCAGACACCAGGCCAATCGAGGTTCGGATAATCGAGTTCTTACGCGACCTGCACCCACTCCTGGGCGCCCGATGGAGGGATCTCATTGTAGAGGACGGGATGGACGCGGTACGTCCCGACGCCCCCGAAAGGTGGGACCCACTCCAGCTTCGCCCCCTTCTGAGGAAGGTCTATGGCGAACGGGTGGCCCCTTCCTACCTCCCCAACAGCTTCCACTGGCAAGGTAAGCGGCTCGCCGCCGCCCGGGTGGTTGCGAAGCTATGTGTGCTCTCTACGAACCACTCCATACTGGACAGCTGGCTTCTGCACTCCAGCGGGTGGCCCCAGCGTGGCCCGTCACCCCTGCGGCACACCCTGGACACCCTCGTTGCCTTCTTGACGCAGGTCAGTTCAGATAAGCTCACCCACGGGACACTACAAGAGCCAGCCAAGGACGCTTCCATGCGAGACACTCAGGAGCTGTGCAAGCAGGTCGGCCCCCCTCCAACAGAAGGCACAAAGGCACATCAGAGGCGATGGGCGGGCCGGCCTGGGTGGGCAGCCCCCTGAGGCAGCTGACTTCCCAGTAGAGTTCCTACCCTTAGGCTCGCGCTCCCCAGGCCCGGACTTGAATGACAGCGCGGCGCACTCCCCTACGCGCAGTGGTGTTAGCCCACCGTGCCGCCGCCGTGCTATCTCGCATTCCCCTGACGGCACCCGCGCGCGGCTCGCCGGCCCTGTTCTGGCCGTTCCCCACGCCCGTCCCGCCACCCTGGGAAGCCCTGCTCTTGTCTCGGGCAACGACAGTACCGCGGGACACTTGGACAGGGCCCCGGAGGCCCCCGGCGTGGTCTCCCGGAGCGAGCAACCCACCACGCCACGGGGGCACCAAGGGGCTTTCTGAGCCACAGCTGGTCGCCCACTCCT